GAAATGCAAATTTTAAACCCCTTTCCGAGACGAGCGTAACATTAGCATCTAAACGTTTACTGGATAAATTAATAACTTTATTTTTGGTAGAAAAAATAGCACTAAGTTTAACTACCTCCTTATTGTTTCTACGATTCCTTTGGTTGATGTTGATGCCTAAATTACTTAATTTCTTATCATGTCGGGATCTATGGATCTCATCCATCCTATCCGCCAAACTGTCAGCCATTTTCTGCAATTTGAGAAAGTCTTCTTGAAAAAATAGCCGAGAAAGGGATAGTCCAGTTCTCGTTTTGGTTCTAATCAGGTCATGTAGTTTGTCTATACTTTCTTTGAGTCTAGTCTTAACCAAACCACTTGATACATGCTCCAGTTTCCCATTAGTGGAAAAAGGTAAATCTGGACGTCTACCAAGAATACAACATCTATGAACTGCATTATGTGAAATACAAATTTTTAAAAATATTATAGTATTAACTTGTCGGGATATAGATTTCTTGGCTTTCGTATGGACAGAAGAGTGTTGATAAGAATTTATATGCGAAGAAAAAGGCGCATTCACATGCAGAGACAGACACACTCACATGCATCGAAGTTGACATATGACCGTAACTAACCAAATCACTTTACACTTGATCAAAGAGGCCAGATGTAGAGTATATATACCACTTTTTAGGGATTTGCTGGCAAGTTTTCTTGAATTTGGTTGTGACAATGATACCTTGCTCCGATGATGTTCGTCACATGACGGAAGAAAGCTTAGCACCTTTTCACCGGAATCGATGGAGATTACCTCGGAAACAGTATCAGCTGGTCAAGAGGAATCGGCCGTCGTCTTCTGGTGGAACCGACCTTCCAATCTCGAAATGGAGGTAGGCTCAACAATTATGAAACACGAGATTCCTCGAGACCCAACTTTTTTTCGCATAAATCACTGTTCGGCCAGTGGGTAGATTAGATTTTAATCTTCTGTCTTTCGTGTCTATAAGCTCACAAGTGGAACTGCTGTCGCGAGGGCAGTCAGGATGCCGACGTACTGCAACCGTTCGGCCTCCACTTTCCCCAAGCTGTATCGTCTCGTAGGCATGCCCCACAATGAGCACACAATCACACACATACACATACACATACACACATGAGTGCAGAGGCGCTCTTGATGATGCGCTGCCTCGATCCGACCTCTCCTCTCAACTCAGTCCCCAGAGATGATTTCCCCGCTAGAACGGACGAAATGGCCGGGCCGATCTAATTGCCACGCCAGTAGGGACAAGATAATCGTATTTTTGAGGTCACCAAGCTACTCTTTCGCATAGTCTGCACATTTGGTCGTCGCCTCAGTGACAGGTCTTCGGCAGATGAGTCATCGAATTCACTTTAGAACCCTCCAGTCGGTAGCCTCTTCAGAGCCCGGCCACTCAAGTCCGGCAATTGACTCGCTTTTTTGGTCGTCCTCTTCAAGTTTTCTGCTGCCCTAGGTTGCCATCGCTAGAAGCAGTTGGATTTTTTTGCAAATATCAGTCATCATTGAATGTTATCCTATCCCGTCTGGGTGGCTTGAGATGATACAAGGTCTGATAGTAGAATAATTCCCAAAAAATAACTCGAGGAGGCCCCACCAAGCCAGTTTACTACACTTGGATCTGCCCTCAAAACGGTTTTGCCTTCAGCAGATCCCGCCTCACAACTCATCAGGGCGGGAAATCAGATCTTGCACGACAAGTTTGCACAATTTTATCACTCAATCACGCAGCTATGACTGCCTGGGAGCCACAGGGTAGCTAAATTCACCATTAAAATCAACCGCGCTACTTATTTACGCTATAAGTAGTCTTTGAGACTCAATACTGCCTCAATATACGAAGGAAGGGTGGATTTAGAGTGACTCAACTTTTCCTTTTGACGAGAAAACTGGCTGGAAGGACTTCGTGAATCGGTCTTATCTTAAACCAAAGGAAGATTGCTTTCGGACTGAAGACTTTGAAATGTGCGAAGAACTGTTCGGCTCTCCGTCCTGCGGCTCCGATGAACCCATGCTATGCTTTCATCTGTACCTTAGTGGCAGTCATCACCAATGCAAAAAACTATTCTTAATAGAATAGTAGAAATATTTATAAAATCTATGCCTACATAGTTAAACAACAATATTGCTAAATATAATATAAAGCATTTAAAAATTATTACCATAGATAAACTGTTAGATAATATTATATATATATATATATAATTCGAAAGTCTTTTGGTTTATAAATATTGAGGTCATTTCAATTTCGGGTGAAATTATGTGCGATTAACAGATTCTGAGGTGGATCGCATGAGAAGACGACGGTGGATTCTTCATGTTCAGTTGCCGATTGGCTTGAGGCCGTCCCGGAGGCAATCTCCCAGGTCGAATCCAATCTTTTAGCTTGACTATGAATGATACCGACCTCATCATCCATCAGTATCATCATCATTCTCATCATCACTCTCATTATCATTAACATTATCACTACAATGATCACTAGCATCATCACTAGCACTGTCATTAGCATTCCCATTACTATTAGCTTTGCCATCATGATTGGCATTATCAGTTTCATCAGCATCACATTATTCAATATCATCATCATCATTTATTTCATCACCTTAATCAAACTGAAATTGTTTACTTAAAATGAAAAGTGAAGTCATATTTGTTTGAACATGTTCAGACAAAGTGCCTAAAGAGGATTTGGTGGCAGTCCGGCTGTTGGTTCTTTTAATGCCTGCGACCCTTCACTAACACCAAAGTCTGCAACTGTCTTGATGTCGACAAGTGAAGGTCACATCAGTTTGTTTGGCCTTGTGGTCAGGTCTGTGGGCAAGAGCAAATTGCGTTTTCATAGCCGCCTTGGTACGCTACTATCGCCCCCCCCCCCACCGTTTCCGTCTCTTCTTCCTTGCCTTGCTCTGCTCTACTCTCACTTTGTTTGCTATGGCAACTGGCCCCGTGGCTATCTCGACAATGTAGGTCTGTAGCCAACTGGTTGGGCCAGTCTTGCAAAGCCAGGCCAACCACACCTTGCACCTCGCCCCCGCCCCGTGCACATGTCGCTCACACGCAGGCTCATCTGCACACTCGGCAAGCCTCGGCCAGTGTTGGCATGCACAACCACGTGGATAACTGAGCACCAACCGGTCTGGAATGGCATTTCGGGCAACAATTTGAAGGCCGGCCAGACTCGAGGCCCAGATACGGTGGGACAACGTGAAGGAGACATGAAGTGTGGCGTGGATACAGCGTTCGTTTGTGTGAATTCGCACACACACTCATGGGAGGCCATCTCTTTTTCCACGCAAATGAGATACCAACTGTCCCAGTGACAACGTTGAGCCAGGATGGACATCCATCACTGGCGTCAAACGCCAGTTCGGGTCAGCGTTTGTTTGTCTCTTTGTCGGGATGGCCGGGATTTGAGCAACTCCAGAAGGCACCGAATGCGTGTGGGAGAAGTGTGGCCTCCAATCAACTCTGGAAGATGGCAACTTTGGATAGCGAGAAACACTCGTTCGGCTGACTCAGCCTTCTTTATCTCGCAATGTCGGCTGTCTTCTTCGGCCGAATTCGGCTCGTCGTCGAGCCAAGCTGATGAAGCATATGCCAATTAGACGACTTCCCATCGCCATTGCACAATGTTGACGTGCACACGGAGACCGGACAATCGGAGAGGAGAAACTGTTGGAAGAACTACACACTCTCGATATCTACAAGTGCTGATATCATTTTTTTTCGCCTACTCCTCTTCACGTGCGCATCGGCGAAATGAAACTATTTTTCGAAGTGGGTTGATTTCGTTTTCGCAACTT